CGGTCCTCGCATGTCTTTACTTCCGGCTTGCCCAAGTGAGTCTGGACTGCCCTGGAAAGTGTCCCAAACGCCTTCGTTTGTGAACCACCTTGATTTTGTCTGAACTGCATTTTTGGAAAATAAACAACTTTTTTAGTTGTCGTTTTAGGAGTAAACATAAACGCAGAGTATCAAAAAACCTCTATGTGTAGTCAAAATATTTTGATGAGAGAAAAGCCGTTTGCAACTGAAAGCTAAGGGGCATTTGCTTTCAGACTGTTAAATTTCTTCACTATAGAAGACCTAGTTACGTTGGGAAAATGTCATTGAAGGCACCGTAAATGGGCAGTTTTGGGTGAATTAAATACATCAGTAGTTTGAAATGGTGTGCTGTGTTTAAAGTAATTCCTATTGCAAGAGCGCCCTAACCGTTTAGGAAGAATGAAATACCTCCAACTTTTGAGTCATGGCTACAGTTGATAAACCAAAAGCCTGTAGCCTAACGCGATTTTCATCAAATTCCGCTATACAAACCAAATATTCAAACAGGATATTAGCCTTGCGTGGACTTGTTTCAGTGCTGCTGTGGAATGTCCGATAAGAAATGCCCCATTAAAACAAACACATTTCGATTTACGATTGCACTTTGAGGGACGACTTTTTTTTACTTAAAATAATTGATTGAAATTCAGTCACGTTCCACAGTAAGCATTCTCAAATACAGTCGATGTTCAACCGTTTGTCTTGGCAGTTACGATTAAAGGATTTGCGAAAATGATATCCTACTGCCTCTAGAAGTCAGAGTCTGTGCGCAGTGGATGACATGCATTTATGATGTTTGCTAGAACCAGTCCAGTAAGAAACTCGGGTGCGGTAATTTAAACTAAACAGCGTCTTAAGTAATGAGTATCGTCCTCTAAATTCTGCGCACATGGGTTAAACTATACCCAGCTGACCATTTATGCGCTGAAGCCGCAAGGCTTGTGTTTGATCCGTGGACTCAAACCCAACCTTCAGCAAGTCTGCCCGACGACCTTCGTTTTTTGAGAAATGGTAGACATTAACCGAGTTTTAGAGTACCTTCAACTTCACCTTTTGTACTGGTAAATCAAAGTTTCCTGAACTTAGATGATTTGCCGGGTCGTTTTAAGTTACACGACTTGGTTCGCGCCTTATGCGTTTCTAATCATTAAATCAGGTTCGAAACGGTTCCAGCTTGCTTTCTGAATTTACCCGCGGATCCCCTCTGAGACTTCGGTGGGAATAAGCCTTCAGGCAGAAGTGTTGAAGGTATGTGAGGCTCTAGGCCCTAACCACTTCCGGTTTTAGCGAGAAGACTGCTATTTTTAATTTCCGTTTTCGCATTCCTTATTGAAATGTTACAATCTAACGGAAGTTGTTAACACTATTATGCAAACGTCCGGCGCTCATTCTAGAATTTGCGGACATATATATTTGCGCACGCATTTTTTAGTTATCTCAGCACAAAGTTAAACCCAACTCCACCCCTTAAAATAACGACTGACGATTGATGGGGAAAAAGCACGTATAGTGAAGGACGAAATAGCATGCGTTGCGGGAAGGTTAAGGAGGGCGATATCGTCTGTTAAATATATCCTCTTCTAAAAAAGGCCTCGGAACTCCACGCGTAAGTCGCAGTCCTCGAAAAGCATTTTATCCAGACTGAAAAGTGTTGAGGAGGAGAAAATGTTAAGGCACGACGGTAATTCGAGTTAAAGTGCACCAAAATGGAAGTAGGGAATTTTCCTGCTAATTAGCCCGATTAGTGCAGGATGTTTGAGTTTTTTCAGGGAAGCATTTTAAGGTTTGACATGGAGATATGAATCAGTCTGTCATTTAGATTAACATATGACCATCGTGCCTCCTCTGGCATATTATTCACAAGGGATGATGATCGACGCGAAGTATTGATCTTTTTATTCAGTTAAAGGAATTCTGCCCACCAGACTTGATTTTTCTGTCAAAATGTACTTCGCGCAATCATCTTCCCTGATCAGGATTGTGACAGAAAAATTTAAAGAGGGGAAGAAATACTTGATTGGCTGTTGTCAGCAAGGTTTTCTCGACTAATAGCGGCACTATTATATGCTTGTCCATTTTAACGTACATCCCTGTTTCTTTTTCCGTGGGCGAAATATTATCAGCGTACATATTTGTCATCGGCGGGGACGTGAATTTTGGAGTAAAGTGCGTTCTACCTCGCTAGTAGCATTAGTTCTTAGTGACATGGCCTCAAGTGCAGAGATGAAGCCGACTATTTTAGCATAAAGCGCATTAAAATTGGATTCAGACCTCAAAGCTACCCAATTCTTTTTAGTTTATCTGCTCGGACGATAGTTCGTGCGCCACATTTTCGTTTGCGCTGGCTTCGGTTTTCAGTTTTCCGAACTTCCGCCCAAGCTTCATGCGCCACAGTTCCTGTCTCGTTTTTGCCAGAGTTCGGTTAAGACAATCAGAAACAGATTCATCGAACAATGCCTCGCGCGCAGTCCTTTTTCTTCCATGACAGCTGGGTACTTGCGGAAGCGCAGATGACAGTCGTTGCTCAGTACCCTTGTAATTTACTTGGGAAAATGCTGCATAACATTCCTCCTCAATTTTCTATTCACCGGAGCTTTGTAACATAGATTCTTTGGCGTCGGTTCGTCACGAACACATTTGCATAGAAAGTGGGACAGCTCATATGCTGTTGTCCCTCATGTGGAGGTGTCTTCCTGCTGTGAGTTGTGCGAAACACGAGTGGAGGCGAAAGGAGGACCTGGGACTCGCATATTCGCCCCTATTCAGTAGATTTCACTGTTTTTTCGAATAATATAGTTGACTTAAAACAAGAGCGCCTTTATTAGAAGAGTTAGATTTTGCCCTAACTTATTATTAAACCGGTTTATTAAAACAAGTATCTTAAACTGTTCACTGAAGCCGAGGAAAAGACATTGTTTTTAGGGAAGGGAAACACCTCACTAGATTTCTGAAGTGACTTAGTAAAAAGAAGAATTGACGCGATAACCCTGTAAATCCACATTCTGACTAGCGCTTCCGTAATTTCTTGTTGCTATAGAAAAACAGGAGCTTTTCATGGGGTGAAATGAAGCTGTGGACTAAACGTCCGATCTGTAGAGGAGGATGCTTAAGTGAAAGGATGACAATGAGAAGGCATGAAAATTCAAGTTGTGCCTTATATGAAGTTATTGCCAGTATTTCAAAATATGCTCAGATAATTCGGAAATCTAGGGGTACGAAAATTCCTATGGAGTAATTCAGATGACAATTTGGCGAGCATACGCGTGCTTTCGATAAATTCTCGCCTGGCCAGTATATCTATTTGAGAACAGGACACAGAGTAAAACACGTGAAGGATAAGAGAACTCGATTATAGGACGTATTTTCATACAAGCGGGGCGTTTGAATAGGGAGGGGTGAATGAAGGAGACAGTAGGTGGCAGTGAGGGTTAGGCGAGGCCGTGCCACAGGGGGAAGGGAGGGGGGGGGGAGGCGCGGAGACATATTGGCAGTTGATCGACCCTTGGGCATAGTAGACGCGGGGCGTACACTTACTGCCTTTCCCCTTAGCAGACGCGGGGCGTGCACTTACTGCCACTTACTACCTTTCTCCTCCCCCACCCCTATTCACGCATCCCGCCTGTATGAAATGACGAACCGTAATTGATTTCTCTTTTCGCTCACTTGTTTCATTTTGCACTCGTTCGCATATAAATGTACTGGCCCGACGAGAATTTATGGAAAGCACGTGTATGCTCGTCAAATGGTCTTTTATATTCAGGTATTTTTTCGTTTGATAATCTTTAGCTCTTTTTATCGGTTTAAAATCTACCGATCAATAGATTGCATTCCGTCATTTCTCTGAGGCTGAGAGCCGAGTTCATAATTCTTAAAAGGATGAAAAATACAGTGGTCACTGCCGTCGCTGCTGGGCAACTGTCATGCTTATTACCATTGAAGGCACCAAAACCTGGACTATCTTCTTTATGCAGTGGCCCTATTGGAAGTGGGACAAGCCTAAGCATGTTTGTAGTGTAACTGAGAATATTATTGTCCAGAAAGGTCCTCACTCGCCCTATCTAGGTCATTCCTCCGCGCATCTAATTTTTTTATTGGCTATCCCATCTTGACAACGGGACACCCTTATAGTTAGCCCCGTTTGTGTTTGCCCGAAATAACTAACTGGTGAATCGAAAGTCAGATTCAATGACTCCCTCTTATTTTGGCTTCCACGGCACTCTCACGTATTTGAGATCCACTTTGCTCACCCTTTTTTGCGAAAACCTGATGTGCTGTGCGGAGGACAAAGTCGTGTGTGGCGCACTCAGACGGGCCGTAGAACTCAGTCAGCCACTTGTGATCAATCCGGCCACCAGAGGACTGACCAGCTCGGATAGTGAACTGATGTCTGAGAGAGGGAAGAGAGAGTGATGCGGACTCTGTAGACTCCATTCCTTACCTGTCAGCGCATGCTTCTCACTATAAACAAACTGCCGAGCTTTAAAACTATCACAGTGCGCTAAAATCTGCGGCTTGTAAGGCTACTAACTCGATCCGCCTCTCGTGGTCCGAGTCTCTAATGGCCGCAATTTCATCATGCGTGTTGGATGTTGGCGTGATGATTGCTCAGCAATTTGGCCCGCTGTCACCGCGATCGTTACTCTTCCGCGCCAGCGATCGCATATTCTACTGAACTGCTTTGTGGAACTCGCCTGTTCGCTTCTATAGGCAATCTTCTTGGGCGCGATGCGCTCCGATCGGCTCGACAGTGGGAGACAGCTGCCCTTCGGGAGTCGTCTATATACACGCAGGTTCAGTTTCTGCACAGGTGTCTCGACAATAATGTGCTGCCAAAGTGTGTCTGATAGAAACCTCCGGTTAACGCAGAGCTGGCGAGCCGCGCGGTACTCCAGCACGGCAGACGAATGATGCGAGTGCTCCTTCAAGACTGTCACTCAAGAATTCGCAAATACCGTCAGGGGACTGACCAAGAGAAAACAATGGGCTGCGAATGCATGGGCGAGGATGGCACAAAAATGCTCCAGCAGAGAGTGGCCGAACGAACCCGCGAACACAAAGCAACGCGCGAAGCAGCCCTAGAGAACGAATTTCGTAAGCTGCCTGCTTCAATGTCATCCAAGAACGACAAACTGCTGCATAATCTGTCGTCAGATAAGCTGATGGTGGAGCAAATGCAGGAGTTACGACATGAGACCTCATTTAACACGGCCGATGTCAAACCTACTAACATGACAGCAGCATTGGAGTCAATCCTCAATCAGACGGGAGCGACAGACGAAACTAAGAACCTCATTCGACACCAAGTGTCATCCATCCTCATGGCCCATTGGCCGCGCAACGTGCTTTCCAAGGTCGAGCGCGATGCACTTAAGGAACTCAGGGCCGACAACGACCTCGTTATCGTGCCTGCGGACAAGGGGCGTTCCACGGTCGTATTGGACAGGACAGGCTACATTCAGAAAGCCAAACGCTTGTTGGAGGATCGTCAGTCCTATGTCACATGCGAATCCAAGCCCATAAAAACGTTGACACGCGACATTAACGCTACAGTGCCGGCAATGGAGAATTCAGGTGCAATATCACCAATCGACCGACACATGGCTAGGGCACAATAGACGACCTTGGCCCGATTCTACGGTCTCCCAAAAGTGCACAAAGTGGGAACTCCTCTCCGGTCTACCGTATCATTAAAGGCCGCTCCAACCTACGGACTGGCGAAGTGGGTGTTTCGATGTCTCAAGTTTCTGACCTCCGATTCGACCACCACATTCAACACGTCAACATAATTCTTGGGCAATTCTCCTGCCAAGCGATGTCAAGTCCCTTTTTTCTTCTATTCTACAGGACTTGGCAGTCGAGACCATCGAACAACTCCTACGGGAGAAATACTACGAATGGGAGAATCACCTCGGACACTCCCAACTTATCCAACTCCTGAAGTTCTGTCTGAAGAGATACTTTACCGTCGACGGAACAATCTACGAGTAAGTGAAGGGCACGCCAATGAGTAAGCCGGTTTCAGGACTCATAGCTGGACGGTCCTACAATGGTTTGATTCGATGGTTTTCCGACATCGCAGACTTAAATTCTGGGATCGGTATGTGGATAATACCTTCGTCATCATCGAACGTGATCAGGTGCCGATATTCAAAGAACATCTCAACGCTGTCTTCCCGAACATTCATTTTACGATGTAGGAGGAAGATAACCAGCTGACCTTTCTTGATGTCCTCGTTTGCCGCAAAGATTGTGGTGGTCTAAAAGCTAAAGTGTTCAGGAAAGCGAAAACTACGACGCAGGTACTGAATTTCAATAGTAACCACCCGATCGGCCACAAACGCATTTGCGTAAAGGCACTATACTGGCGCGTTGAGACGCAGTGCAGTGAGACGGAGGATAAGGTTGCTGAATTGCAACATTTCTGCGGGTACTGAGAGCCAATGGCTGCCCACGCAACTTTGTCAACCAGTACGTACGAAAACGACACTAGAGACCAAATCCAACCAAACCCAAATCTTGGCGGGCTCTTCCGTAAGTGAAGAACGTCTCGGAAGCCGTCAGTCGTCTTCTCACTCCGCTTTGAGTTGGGGTTGCACACAGGCCGGAAGCAACCATCAGGCGCCAAGTCATGAGGCCGAAGGACCCACTGCCGCGACAGGAATCGTCAAGAGTCTTTTACTGGATCTGGTGAAGTTGCGGACAGAGCAACTACGTCGGAGAAACTGAGAGATTACATTGGACGCGAATTTTCGAGCACACAGCAGCAGTGAGGCGGGAGACTCTAGCTCTCAGGTGGCGGGCACATTCGACAGGACCCGGTCATATTTTCAAGTTTCAAGATGCTGAAATCCTCGCAAGGGGTGACAACCGTGTGGGCCGCGAGCTGCTCGAGTCATACATCTCAGGTCCGCAACCCATCAGCAAGAGCAATGACCCCTCGGCACCATATTTGTTGCTGAGGCATTCCCTGAGCGGGTGAATTAGTCACGTGAGGAGGGTGCGGGAGAGCAACAATCGCGGTGACAGCAGACCAAATTGCTGAGCCATCATCATGCCAACCTCCAACACGCATGATGAAATTGCGGACCCCGACTGACGAGCCATCATAGCTTTAATTACGCCCCCCAACGGTGATCGCGAGAGCTGTTAATTGTAGTACGCATGTGGTCCCACGGCAACTACCTACTATAAATACTGCAGTCTTTGTGCTTCCACTACCTTTATCTGCAGCTGTCTTTGATGATGGGTTCGAGTGAGAATCCGAAACGTCAGGCCAAAATCTTCTTGCTCCAGCGATCGCATCGTCGTCTGGGTACCGATTATCCAACGAGCTTATTTTCGGTCGCCTGAGAAAACTACACTGCAAAAGTGACCGCTTAAATCGTAGAAGTTTTTTCCCACTGATTTTCGATATCCCTTAAAACTCAAATGTATTTTAGAGAAAACGTGTACAAAAATAGTCTTGTACTCGTTTAGTAACAAACTGCACCCTCTTTGATTTGCACGCTTGAAGAAACGACATTTGTGGTTTTAAAAACGTTTTTTGATCCTCTACTGATTTGGGACCCGATTTAACCTTACACTGGCGTTCAGGGTTCCCGAATTACAAGTTGTATATTTTCTGTGTACGAAAAATCATACACTTCTTAATGCTATTAGGACGTCGTATAGAACTCGTAGAATTTTGTTTCGGATTTAGACCGTATTGCATAATTTGTAAGCAGCACTTATACATACACGGATATAATGATCTTTGAATATATATTTCACGATCTTAAAAAATCGTATAATCAAAAGCTTTTTTAAAGCAAAATATACCTTTTCTTTAAACATAAAATCGGAATAAAACATAATTTTCTGCCAAATGACTACGAGGAGCAATATTTTAGTCACATTTTCCGTTAACTATATTTCAATTTATAAGGACAGGAAAAATCAACGAAAGAAATCCGTGCTTTTTAAGGATTCATGTTTTGCAGTGTGATTTTCAAAGGCGGCCAGAAAGAAGTTCGTTTAAAAGCCGACACCCTGATGTAATTGAAATATCTAAGGATTATAATGCAAAAATAACTAATATTGCAAGGAACCTTAGGTAATCTTTTCGGGTCGAAGCGTATTCGAAAATTGTAGTTAACACTTCACACGATAGGGAATTTAATATACTTCCGTTCATCTTCGTCGTTCAGACCCGCGGGCATAAAGTCAGCCATTAGTTCACGTCGATGCCCTCATAACTTGCGCACAGTAGAGGCCGAATCGCCTGACAACGTGGACTGTATCTTTGTTACGTAGCCCGATCTATTTATTATAACAATATCTGTCCCTTTATCCGGCCTAATTACCAGGATATCTTTGTTCTCTGGAAGTTATTTTAACTTCTTCACGTGTTTTTTTGTCCGAAATCCCTAACTTTTGGCCCCTTGTTCAGGTACCGATAACTGCAATTCACCAGTTTTGATTTAAAGTTTGGATACAGCTGGTTTACTCCCTTTCTTAGATATCCTTCTGAGCAGGATGCCTGACGGCGGCGTCCGAAGGAGGGTCCGTCTGAAACAAACCTGGTTTGAACAGTACACAAACTTTGGCAGTTTTGTGCCCCGCCAACGAAAATGAAATTTAGTCCGGTTTTTAGTGCAAAGGGCTGGAAAGTGTCTTTGGCAGACAGCATCAAGAAGGAGCTTAGAGGGCTCCGGAACTTGCTTCGCGAAAACGGGTATCCTGACACGTTTATTGCAAAGGATATTACTGAGCTACCGGAAAACTCCATCACATTCTGTTCCTTAAAGTTCCTTTTCAAGGGAACTTTGCTAGTGAACTAAGAAGATGCCTTGATCAACCACTTTTACTAACCGTCCCTGTAGCAAGGGTTCGAATGTTATTCTATATTATCCCTATTTCACGCGGAGAAGGTAAAGATAAGTTGCCATCTCAGACCATCTCTATGTTCATTTACTCCTTCATTTGCTCCTGTGGAGCAGTTAATATTGGTCGAAGAACTCGGCGCTTATCCAAAATAATACGAGGAAATCTCTCGGTATGTCTGGAAAAGAATAAAATTAGGAGCATGTGCAGTTCCACTCTCGCACATGTTGTTTATTTCGGGCATCATTTGGACTCCAACGAGGCTTTTCTTGTGATTTATGAGATCCCGTCGAGCTATCCTAATCTACTTGGGCAGCGTGCGTAGCGACGGCGGAAGCGGCCACCATCGGGTTGCGAAAGTCGGTCTTTGGAGCGCAGAAGAACCTCGTTCAGGCTCCGCGCTTAGCGTGGTCAATGGTCGACTAACTACATGCAAGTCTCCGCACACTTCCGTTCCCACCCCCGCCCTGACGTGGACTCTCATTCCCTGCCCCATATTCCCGCAATCCGCCTGCGTTTTTAGACGAAATTTAGTCGATTCCTCCAATCACTGAGATGTTCTACTTCACCCCGTTGCCACATAAATTTATTGGCCTGACGAGGATCTATCGAAAGCATGCGTATGCCCTCCAGCCAGTCTTCTGAATTCTGCCATGGAACTTTTAACGACACCATATTTTTTGCTTAAGTATCGTTGCTGCTCAGGGGATAGATAAGAAATTGGAAACATTCTCGTAGGAATCACAGATGCATAACCAATAAAACTCACCGGAGAATTTGTGGCCTTAGTTGACGGGCTTCAGTGAAGTTCCCAATAATATAGACAGATATTACTTTTTTACTACCTCTCCGGATTTGGCTGTTTATGAGTGTTGGCGAAAAGTGCTCAGATGTGCGTTGAAGTTCTGGGGCGAATCTGCTTGGCCCGCTGAATTGCACATTTCCTTGTCGGATGCTGGTGGAGTATATATTTCACGTATTTAATCAAACACATCGGTAGAATCTTAATTTGACCACGACTGGTTTAACAGGTCTAGGAACAAAAACAAACAGACTCTTTTAAAGTCAACAGCTAGTCATACCGATGAGCTTGCGATAAGCCTATATTAAATGACTAAATTCAACGTTTGATTATCTCATTCGAACGAAGGAATTGGGAGCAATATAAAAATATTATTCACCAGAATCAGTCGTATAACTTCCGAAACGGTTGCTCATCTCCCATCGTGTCTTATTGGTTCGATTGTTCTTGGTAGATGATCATCAATGGAAAGACTCAAATAGCTCGCTAATATTCTTTGGAATACTGGACTCGATAGAAATTTAGCCAACAGTGCAAAAGTTGATGGGCTGTATGCAGCCAGCTAAATTTGGTTTTTGACTGACAGAGATCGTCGGAAGGGTAAAGCGGTGGTGATTCCACAGGCTTCTTCTTCACGTTTATTTCTTCACCAGGATCGGACTTATATTGTAAGAAGTGAAAAACCGGTGCCAATGACCATAGGGAACTTCTAACTGAATATAAAATACCGCTTATTTTTACCATTTACTTTGCTTCTCGATCATTCCCTGAAGAATCAGAAGACGCCGGATTGATTTGACTAATACGTCCAAGGTATTCGTCAAAAGCATTTAAACTAACTTTCAGTTTTAGGACTGAATTTTTGACTTGCTGATTCCATATCCGCGCTAACGATGGAAACTAGTATGTGTAGTTGTTAGAGACGACTTTTCGGTTTTGCTTCGTGGTGCA